GTAGGGGGGGTATAGAAGGATAAGCTTGCCTAGGGCACCATTCATCCAACCACAGATGTCTAGAAATAAAATTAACATATTGATAATATGATGCAGTCAACATAAAAGCACCGATTATTTTATATGATTGGTAAACTGTTATTTTATTAGCTTTTATATCAGTTTATAACAATATGACCCTTTCCATATTTTACAGCCACATGTTTATATTTGCTTTCTGTATTCCATGTGACCAAAATAAAATATAAAACAATTTCTTAGAAATTCATAAGGTCACATAGCGGGTACAACTGTCAACATAAATAAATATCCCGTGTCATTAAAGAAAAAGAAGAAAATGAGGTGGCACCCTTTTTTGCTGTGTGTGTTTCCATGGTAAACAGCCGATACTGTCTGCGCTCAAAAAATGAATAGATGCAAAAAAAAGAAAAGAAATCGTGGACTGTTCGGGTTTTTCCGCCAGGGGTCGGACTCAGAGCTCCAGTGTGTTTACGCGGCAGATACATCAGGTTTTTTTTTCCTTTCTTTTAATTGTCTAAGGTTTATGTGTTAAGAATAAAGGATAAAACACAGTTTCTTGCAGACATGGACACCGCTAACCAGGTGAGAGAACAGGCTGATGGAAGGAAGAGGAACGGAGGGTTAATTACAACTCAATTGGTCCATTAATTGGTGGAAATAATATTTTTAACCTTCTCTGTCTGTGTGTAGCTTGCATCTGCGGGGACATTTCAGGTGCTCAAACTACCTCTGGGATTTATTCGTGTTTTAGAATGGGTGAGTTGTAATTTTTTTTGCAGTTACTTAAATATGACTACATTCTTCGCAAATTAACATCAATACTGGTACTGAGGATAAGCTTGGGTATTTTTATTTAAATTTTTTTGCATGCAGTAAAAGCAAAGATAATTGAATTTAGATATGAATTGAGAAACTTTGCACGCATCTGTTGGATTTTTGCACACCTTACGCGCAAGCATTTTCTTATTGTCTAATCCTATGCGCCGTGTGGAGCGTGTTGATGTTTATTTATTTTTAATTAAGACTATGAGTGCAAACCCTGTACATTTTTTTTTTTTTTGTGCCTGCTTACAATAAATGTCCCCATTTCAGCACGAGTAAAAGGATATAACAGGAATCCCTAATAGGTGTGCTCACTGTGACTGAATGTTTACTACAGCTACCCCTCTCTGTCTGGCTGTGGGTCGTGTTGACTCAGTGTTTATTGTACAGTGCAGAGAAGCCTGAAGCTAGAGAAGAGATAAGTGACTTTCTTTGATGTGAGTTTAGAGAAATTGCTCTAGCCACCAGGGTGTTCAGCATTTTCTCAGATAATGTGTTTAAGTGTGAGTTTGTGTGTGTGTGTGACTTTGATGGGGTGTGGGGGTGTGATTAATAGAAACTGCATGCACAAGGGATCACAGTTTTTATTAACTAGAAAAAAGATGGAATTTTGTTACCCTTTATAGAAATGAACCGATGAAATTCAGCAAACACAACCATTAAGGTTATTTTATATACATCTATTAGCAGAGAGCATGGATGTAATATTTTGGGGGAGGATGGGGGGACATGTCTCTTGCACTTTAATCATCCGTTTTTGTCCCCTGCACGTTTTACTGTCCAAAAGCATTATTGCGCTACAGTACACAGATACTTGGAGTACTAGGACCAAGCAGAAAACCGCAGCTCAAGCTGAAGCCTGCTTCCCTGAGGTTAGACCGCCCACAAGTTCCTGATTGGCCGATCATCTTTTCTTGTATGATTGGCTGTCACTCCTAAGAAGCTCACTTTACAAACATCTGATGCGCAACTGAATCAGGTCTGTGATTGGATGGTCTAACAGGCTGAAGTTACTTATATTAAAAAATACTTGCGTCCCCCCCACTTCTGAAATCATATTTTCATCCATGGCAGAGAACAACCTGTATATTATCCTGATAGGACAGAATGATAATGTGTGGGACTCAAGTTTAGTTCTACACTTTATTCATCTCAAAATACTCCAATCAAACCCGTTCTTCCAAGTAGGATCAACAGAATCTTTCGATTTGTAACACCTTGTTCCTGCTTAGGAAAGTTTGGTATCAGCCAATCGTGGTTAAAAACGAATCAGCAGCAGATGCTATATGAAACCACAATAACATAGGCTTTTACGTTCTTTTTTCCCCTCTTAGATGAAATTGAGGAATCTGATCAAACAGGTGTGATAACAACAGTTCCATGTATATGTCCTCTTGTGCTGCCATTTTTGTTATGGCTTGGTTAAGGGCTCAGTCGCTTTTCTGACATCACGACTATGTCATGATTTAATTAAAGGTCTGACCCAAAATGCAGAAGTCCAAACAGAGAGACACAGATGAAAAATTTGACGGATTTTATTGAAGATGTTAAGCTCGGTGCAGAGTTTCCCTGAACTCTGCTCAGCCGGAACTGGAAGGCGAGGGGAGGACAGACTGTTAGTTCAGGCTCAGTGGGAAATTTGATTCGTTGATCTTGAAGGAGAGGATCTGATGACTGTTGACTCACGTTTCCAGAGAAGTGAAGGATCCTTGACTCCAATCTGTGTGTTGGTTTTCCAGAGTATGTCTGATTCGGCGGAGGGCGGAACAGGGTTTACCCAGAACTAAGACGGTGTAGGTGAACGGAGACGCTGATTGCCACTCAGATTTCCTGCTGTACTTGAACGGGTCTTGGTGAAGATGATTCCCTTGCTCAGAGAGTAATTTCAACGTCCTCAAAAGGAGACTGGATCCAAAACCTCCTGTTTGAATCCCTGGCTCAGTTTAGACTCAGTTGATCCCTCCTGGGAGAGGAGGTCCGAAAAGGTCCAGTTTGCAGGATGACTTCCTTCCGAGAGGCAAAGACAAAAAGGTTAAACTCAGGGAGACAAGAACTCAGTCTTACTCAGAGAAAACTCAGCTTGGCTAGAGTACCAAAAACTGGCAAACACTCTGGCGTCGAGGTAGTGGCAATCAGCAGCTTAAGAGCACCCCGTTAATGAGGTAACCCAAATGGAGTTTGTTTGTTTTTTTATGGAAAAACCCTAAATACATTTCTTGCATAGGATCCATTTTGGTTGAGTCACTAAAGCCAACATCAGAAAATCTGTTTGGGTATTCTGTCTACAGTAGGTCTTAAATGGATTTGAAATAATTAAGAAGATCAAATCAACATGCGCATATCTAGGATAGATATGGATCCCAATTATGTTGTTTTGCATTACTTGGAGCCATGTTACCTTTAGGCATTTTTTTGATTGTTGTTGAGAGTTGTTGAGATCTCTTTATGGAGGGGTATTCTTAACATGTCTTGGACCCCTTTTCCTCTTCCTGGTTTCCCATAAATAAATGTTATCCAGGTGGTGAGAAAGTCTGGTCACAGGCTAAAACTAATTGAATAGTTATGTTGAATGTGCCTTAACTGAGAAAAAACAACATTTAGTATAAAACTGCTGCCAGTAGATCAGGAAGTAATATTTTTTGGGTGAATGCTTGTGAAAATAACATTATACCTTCCTTTTTTCTCTAAGGCTACGTTTACATTTTACTTTTTTTTTTTTGTTTTTTGCTTGGTCACTTATTTTACTAACTAAATACAAGCACAATTTTGCTTCTGTATGAACTGTTCAGAAAACCAAAGCAACACAGCAACACGCAACAGACGAATGTAGACTTCAGGCAGCAGCACACAATCTATGGAAGTAATAATCGTTTTGTTACCGGAAATATTTAATGAAGCTACGTTAGTTAAAAAAAAGGAATGCTGATGTCTCTGTGTTTTTATTTAATTGCTAATAAATGGGACCCAGTAATATCATTATCACATGACAACGTAAGGTAAGGAAAAACAAAGAGCAGAACTAAATACCATTTAGTGGATCAGCGACTGCTGCTGCTGTAGAAAAATCTTTGTTGATGTGTATTTGGAGCGAGGGAAATTAGGTAAATGTTGGATAAAATGTGATCTCACCATTCAAAAGGCAGACACTGTCAGATATTGATTCAATGTCAGATATACAGATTTTTTGGCCAAATCAGATCTGATTTGGGCAAGGGTTCTTACTGCAGAATCATGGTCCAACCATGACAGAAGCTGAAGGAGCTTCAACCCCGCCCAGCCAGCTTTACCCCCTCCCACCATCAAACTTTAATCCAATCTGTCAGAATTTGGTGTTGGATTGAGGACCCAAATGCAGAGGCAAGTAGGCAGAGGTGAATTTAGGTGGGTTTAATGAGGTTTACATGAACTGAGGCAGGAATCAAAAAAT